TATTGTATTGACGGGATACAGTCAACGCATGTATCATGCACATGAAAGTCGCTTGCGTTCTCACATTTTAAATAGTTGGTCCTAATTTTTCGTGGGTCGCCTGTGATTTGATTGGACGCTTGATCTTTTTTTCAATGACTGACATTGAATGACGTACGAGGTGCAATGCGATCTCAGAAAGGTAGTTTTAGTAATAAAAGTTTTTATATAGAAGATTAATTTACCTATACCACTACCGTTTATACTTATAACAAAAACCCGTCTTCTCGCTGGAACTCTAGTCGAATACGTAGACTTCTACAGGGCCTTCTAAGTAATGCGCGCCGGGTATAATTCAAACCTCTGCCCCCATCGGTACCATTACCCCTAAAGCAAATCGTCTCCAGGAGACGAAATTCTCAAATCCCAGTCAAGAATTATGTTTGACAATTGGTACTGTACATCGATTCTATTGTAATAAGTCCCATCAGTCCTATTAATATTAATATTTCACTTTTTGCAAACCACCGACGCGATGAAAATGGCTGTTGCAAAATGCGAATGACTTTTTAGGAGAAGGGAGGCGTCAGCAGCAGCGGTATCACGTCACCCACAGCATTAGCCTATCCACCACATTAGCCATTAGCCATTCACTACACTACCAGTAACCCTCTCACAATTCGATTGTTGGGCCCACGGCCGTCATCATCAAGACGCAATACATCCACCCCATGGAATAATACCCTCTTAGCCGACTGCAATCTGCGTTGTTGGAATACGACGACACCACTGCTTTGAGATCACAATAAGGAACGGATGAGGAAGATGGATCAAAAAGAAGAAGATGACCCAATTATGCCGATGGTCCCGGACCTGGACCCCATGAAGACAGACTCGGCCACTGCGGTCGGCGAAGCTGATGCTGGCTCGAATTCGAGCCCGAACTCGACCTCGAGATTCTTGCCACGGTCAAGTTCGAGTTCCAGCGCCAGTGCAGGCTCAGTGTATCATGATACCACAGCTGACTTGGGTGCCAGCACTGCTTCCGTATACCATGATGCCAAACACCCAAACCCCCCAAACCTCGAGAGCCAGTTTCTTCATCAGTTGTCCAATAAACATGGAGGCGCCGATTCCAACTCCAACTCGTATATCAATGGAGAGCAGCCAGTAGACAAAGCACCTCTTCAATTGTCCCAACCACCAGCAAGTCCTGACATTTCGGAGCTTGAAAATGACTCGTCACGAAAAGAGCAGCGTCCACTAGGAATACTCAAGAATAAAAAGTGCAATACACAGGTGCGCTCCGAAGAATTTGTTTCTCACGAACGAAGGCAATGTAACATTCCCTTGACCAAGGCGAAATCGACCGGCAGGGTAGCTTTTGATGCCTCGGCTTCCGAGGGGAGCGAAGCCGGTGCTCTACGAAGGAGACTAAGAAACAGCAGTAATACCAGTATCATGAGGAGCAGCCATCAACTGATGAGCGATTTTTCTGAATTGGTCATTGAAAAGGTCGATCCAGAGCCAGAAACTGAAGAGGGCAATCGCCAGGAAAGTGCGTTTGTCATTGCTGTGGGTATTTTAATGTCCTTCAACATGGGATTTGTCAATGGAGCTTGCTTCTCCGGCTTTGTCACAGGAACCAAGCATCCGGTGGCCGGATATACAACACCCTACACAGAAGCAGCACTGCAATTGGCTCAGGGAGGATACGAACAAATGGCTTTCCAACTTGGAATGATTTTCTGCTTTATTGGCGGCTCATACGTATCGGGAGTCATTACACCCAATGCAACTCCATATCGAATAGAACCCAGCTATGGCCCCTCATTCCTCATGGCAGCGCTATGCTTGGGTACGTCCAGTATCCTGGCTGCCACGGAACACAGTCCAGATCTGGTTTTCTATCTTGCAGGTGTTGCTTGTGGCATTCAGAACGGTATCGCATCGACCTATAGCGCCAAGCTGATCCGCGCCACCGGGCTGACTGGTTCCAGCACTGATATTGGACTTTATCTCGGACAACTCACACGAGGCAACAAAGAAAACGCTCCCAAGCTGATTATACTCATATTGCTGAGTTTTGCCTTTTGGCTTGGAGGCCTCATTTCGTTCTGGGTGACGCGCCACTTTACAAGCCTCACATTGCTATTCAGCACGGGGCTATTTTTGCTGATTGGGTCGAGTTTGGTTATTTTCCTGTCGAAGAAACTTGGAATCAGTATCCGCGCGGCATTGCTGGGGACTTGGCAGTGGCAACAGGCAGTCGAGAAACTTCAGGACGCTTTTGGTGATGGTCTGGAGGGCAGCGTTGGAGGAATGACCGATGCGGAATTGGAAGAGATCTTCGATAGAATCGATGTCGACAACAGTGGCACGATTGACGCAGAAGAATTATACATTCTGCTGAGATCAACAGGTGTCAAGGTAACTCGGAGAGAGAGTGACATGATGCTCCATTACGCTGATAAGGACGGGAATGGAACGCTGGACAAGGACGAATGGAAGCAAGCCATTCATGGGGCGTTTTCAAAGAAAAGAACGAGCAATGGTCTGGGTACTATTTCCAAGATGGCCACTTTCAAAAAGTCAAGGCGGAATTTGATGGATGGCATGAGCGAAACTTGATCGGAACACCATGATGGACGTTTGAACGAAATTGTGGATAATCTGGTGCAAACAGGCGCGGGGGGTGACACCTACGATGTTAAATCGGCCTCGAAAACCTATTCCGAGAGATACGAAACGGGCTTTCAAGATCCGCACTCCCAATTCACAACGACGGTACCCGTAAATTCCCATGCGTTGGTTACCAAAACCGGTACCATCGTGCACGTGATTGCGCCTACCGTAGCCACAACGCTCGCGTTTATCATTGGTGACGCTGTGAACCCCATTGTGGCATCATTAAGTTGCGGAAATCGATCAAGTTCGATCGTGCTACTGTATTTTAAGTATCCTTATCGACACTGCGCATTCCCAAAGCCGGAGTGACTCAGTCGTGTCGATTCGAACGTCGGCTTCTCAGCTCATCACGTCGACTGCGGATTTTGCTTCAGAGACGATATCTGACGTGCATTCAACTGGTGCTACTACCGTACTGGTAACTAGGAGGTTCGCTTGGCTAGCTAAATATATTAGGGGGGACAAGACCAGTCTTTGCTTAAATCGTTTAGTGAGTATGTTACGCTACAATAGTAACCAGGGGCATTGGCTGAACGTCTCAGGTTGGAAGAGGATCGGCACGGGCCCGCTTGCCATTGATGTGTACAAGGGGATGCCAGAAGGAGCGGACAACGCGGTAACAGGCCCCAAAGGCTTCTTCAGGCATGTGGCGTTTGGCAGACACTACAGACATTTGCGCCCACTGGATTGGGTTGCGAGCATTCCTGACACGTCCAGGTTTTGGGAATCTGCATGAAGCAGCCGCCCCAACCGATGGGTCCACCATCGGGCATCTTTCTTTTACCTCCGCAGGTCGCTCCATCGACTTGAGCTTTGCAAGACGCGTCCTCCTCAAGGACGTTGGCCTCGCACTTGGGACAAACCCAAGGTTTGCTCTCCTGCTTCAAGACATCTAAGTCTTCGTCGTCGTCCGCCACATTCTCGGCGAACCGAAGCATATGCGCGTGGTCGAGTGATTCGAGCTGACTCCGCTGCACGATCTTGACTTGTCGGTAAGGGGGGGCTATGACATGGCTGTTGATCAGAGTTTCGACAGTGACGAAAACGCTTTCTTCATTGTCGTTGTCGCGCGTTCTCACTTGGTAGCCCTCAAACGGTCCGTCAATGATTCTGTGGGTCGGTTCCGTGGTGATTTCCTCTACCGGTACCTGTTCCGCTGGTGACTTGTCTAGTTTCAAACGTTTGGTTGGTGGTTTTGTTTCGACGTCCTCTTCGATCGATTCTGCCTTCCGCTTCAAGATTACGGGCTCGATTGTACCAGTCTTCGCGGCAAGTCTTTGGGAGCGTCGAAGAATCTTTGCCTTTCGCAGTGGGGCCATGGTCGGTACCGGTAGGTCAAAAGCAAGTGGTAGAACTTTACGAATCGTAGGTTGGCAAAAAGAAGGTTTTCTTTCTTCGATGATTTGGAAAGATGTTTTTATGCGAGAGATGAGTTTTTCGCTGGACGAGCAAAGGAAACGAACTTTGTTCGAGTTTCTTTGAAATCAAAATCGAAATGAACTTCAAAAACTAAACTCAAACGAAGGCGAAAGGAAGGATAGTTTCAACTCTAGGCTCCTCTTTGAAACGTCGTCTCTCGTGAACTTTCTCTTGCCTTTTGTGAAGTCAAGGCTCGTCAACGTAAACGCTCGAGAATCGTCAACGCAACGCAACCTGACAACGTCGAGTGACGAGTCGAAGTCGCATGCAGTCCCTGCTATGTTGAATTTAGTCACTAAACACACAAGACTCACCAAATGCAACCAACACCATCATATTATCGATCTTCGCCCCTTATTCTTCCTCCTCACAGTCTCGTTCCTGTTAGACACTCTCAGGTATAGACAAACCATGTCAGGCAGCGCTGTGCAACGCAAAGCATGGAACGAAGCCATGCGCAATGCAGCCGGTGCTTCGGCCACATTGCTTCCTGGTCAACAGCAGAATCTGAAGCGTCGTTCGGATCGTCGCAAGAAACAAGATCGTCGCGACAAGGCCCGCAAATCCGTTGCTGTTGCCTCCGACAATGACGAATTCCAAGCCGCTGTGTGGTTGGATGCCCTGGAAGACGTGGATCCCAATCAACAACAAGATGACGATGATGAGTACAATGCACTGGAAGAACTGGATGATGAAAGCAGTAGTCCTGAAAAGGCAAAGTCCAAGAGTCGAAAACGAAAATCGTCTTCCAGCAATACAGCCACCTCGGCACTGCCCAAGCGATTCATGGCACGGACATTAGGCTCGATTCTCATGGAAGAAGCCAACAGACCTGGAGATCACAATAGCTCGGCAAGGGCATTTGTGGATTCCGAAGCCTTGATCCTCACCAAACACAAACAGTTGCCACGTCGCAAGTTTTGTTCTGTTACCGGTTTGAAAGGCATTTTTACAGAACCCAAATCAGGTTTGCCCTATGCCAACATGAAAGCATTGGAACAAATTAGGGAACGAGCACCACCGTGGATGACTCTATCAGGAAATCCAAGCTATTTTGAAGCCTCCAAGAGTCTGAGGGAAGAATGAATTGAGCTATCTGCTAGTGGTTGCCAGAATGGGCAAAACTGTGTGGTTGGTGGTTGCGTTGCATGGGGAATCACTGTGACCAACAAAGTTGGCATAGTTTGTTTTGCTACGGTACTATTATGATCTGCACTGCACTATTATGATAAAAGTAAATTAGTCTCACTCTCCACCATGGCACCGCCTTCGCCCGCCGTTTCATTCAGATTCTCGGGAGGTGGATTCATGCGGTTCACTTCGTCAAGCGTCAACAAGACACTCTGCAGTGCTTCTTGGTCGATTGGCTGGCCCATCAGACGAAGAAAGTGACGCACATGTTGCATTGCCATGTCCGTACTCAAATTCAGGTACCCATCGCTCAAAAAGTTCAAGATCCACTTGGGTAACTTGGAACGCTTGTCGTGTCGACTGTAGCGACTGTCGGCAAAGATCATCAGACCGTAATCCGTCTTGCTGCGAATGACACGTCCGACGCATTGCGAGGCTTGCCGAATGGCATCAAAGTTCAAGAAATCTTGCTCTCGAATCTGATAGTGCGTCTGCAGATATTCTAACCGTGCTCTTAGAACATGGCTAAGTGTGTATTGAAAGGGGACACCAAACATAATCACAGCTCGACCGTAGTGACGATCAAAGTTGATTCCCTCAGAGACCTGGATACAGTATGGTGAAAGCGTGCCACAGAACACAGTTCAGAAGTACTGTAAGACACCAACGGGGGAGTAAATGCCACAGGAAAACCGAGGTTCCTACCTTCCCTCTGGCAACCGATAAGAAAACGGCGCCTCTCCCACAATCGCAAGCTCGACGGTAGTTGTCAAGAGCAAGAGTTGTTTCCACGACGTCCTTGGTCTCGATAAAGACCAACTTGGATTTGGTCAATTCTCTCAGGATACCAACCGCATCCCATTCGCTCACCAAGGATTCCATGTAGCTATAGGACGTAAAAAATGCAACAACTCCATCGGGAATGCAACTGCACAACTCCACCAGCATGGCTCCGTAGTTTCTGTTTAGCAGAATAGAACCCTCACGGTGAGCTCCACCCAACCCGTTGAACTGACACCAACTTGACGAGAAGTACATACCTGATGACTCCCATATCACCTCTATCTTCGTATTTGGTGGAAACGGCAAGCTGATCAGAACCACGGGCGATGACCAGAGGTCGAATACACGGCCGAAACGTGGACATGGTCAGTGATACCGACACGCATGGCTTGAACTGCAACAGCTTTGGATACAGGTCAATCGGCGACAGTGTTCCCGAGGTGATAATCACACTCCCAAATCGTTTAAACAGAGGTGCAATGGCTAGCGAGGAGTCCAGACAAGCCAGTTGAATAACCGGGTCTATGGCACCGGGGATGGAGCTGGCGTTGGGTTCCATGATGATGGCAAACTTGGCTACTCCTTCCGAGTAAGTCGCCAGCAATGTGGCAAAATCTGCCACATCTGTCAGAGAATTGAAATCATCCAGATTGGATACTTGCAGCGTTCGTAGCAGTGAGGACAATCGAGAATAGGCAAACCGCAAGGGCTTGGCCTCCAATGCCGTTCCGTGTGTCAGTCTGTGTAAAAAAGCGAGGGGGGTTTCGCTTTGAACTCCGCCGTTAGGGCCGGCCACGGACCGTAAACGCGCTTTGAGGTGTTCCACAACCTTTTTCATAAAGGCAATGAAATGCTCAGCTCGGCGGATATTTCCGGGAACAGCTTCATTGAGCACGTCTGGGCTCAGCGCATTCTGAAGAACCAACATCTCAAGCATGAGGTTTTCCTACCCAATGGAGACAAAGACATTGGAGAAACGGGAAAGGACTTACACTGGCCAAACCAGCCTCATTGGCCGGAGCATCAATGAGACCTTGGTCAATCAAGCCATTGAGCAAGTTCTGGTACTCGTTTTGGAGACGTTGGGTATCACTCTTTTTCATTCTTGAAACTTCCGATGCCAATCTTCCCAAGGATCGTGTGGCCTGTTCCAACCCTCTATCGTTGATTGTTACAGATAAGGCCTCAATGCAGACACTATCAATGTTGTGGGCTTCGTCAAACACAACAATACTCTCCGACTCAAGTTCCTTGGACACCATTTTGGCTACCTTTGGATCCAGCATGTACTGATAGTTGAAAACGAGAATGTTGGCATGGTTGATTGCTTGTCGTGTAAGATAATATGGGCACCAACCGCGACCCTTTCCCCATTCTTTGAGCTCCTGCAGATCATACACTCCACTGTCGCCGTGCAATGCAATGAAAGAACGTTCAAGCAAAAGAGGTAGACGACAACCTGTTGAGAAAGCCATGGACCACCAAATCTAGTGCAAAATGAGAGACTCTCGCAAGCACAACAAAAACATGACACACCTTGGCATGGTAATGGATTCTCCAACAGCTTGGAAGCTATCAAAATAGGAGCAGGTTTCCTGTGAACCAGGATTCTTGCGTGCCTCTTCTACCACCCACGAGGCCGTCAGAGATCGACAAGCTGCATCGACTGCTTCTCGGTCACTTTCCGCCATGACACGTTCGTGCACGCACATATTTCGCCTACTGGATAAACAAAGGGCCAGCACTCCACTCCCGCCGGCTCCCTTGTTGGATAATGGGCCCATGTGCAACCGCACACCCTTTCGTTTTCCCTTGCCATTGATAACTTTCCGTGGTTTCTTTTTGGGAGGAGACAACTCTTCATGGCTTCCTTCCGCGGCTGCTTGTTGACCACCACCCATGTCTTCAATGCTCTCGCTTCCCACAGCTTGTCTTTCGTCCTGGTTTTCTGCTTTGGCCAGTTCCTTGGCACGATAATCCAGTACGGTAGCCAATTCTTCCATGACATGATTCATCTCGGGCACTGTACGAGTGCAGTAGATCAACTTTCCCGTGGATGGCTTGGCGAATTGATAGCTGGTGATCAAGGATAATAGACATACAGTCTTTCCGGTACCTGTGGGCATTTCCAACAGGCAATGGCCACCAGCATCAAGAGACTGCTTCAGTGACCTCATGTATTGATGCTGCTCCAAATAAATCCGATCATACGGGAAGAAAACGTCAAGACCATCGAGATCGAACCTCATCTTTCTCGCTTATGGATAGATAATGGGGGTATAATACTGCTACGTTCTTGTAATAGCCAGGAGGCTTGGAGCTTCTGTCCGTTCGACTTCTGCGTGTTGTTTGTTCGTTGTTGCGGTTGGAGTGTGATGAAGATCAGTGATAACGGCGAAGCGCAAGATCCTGTCACGTTTGGTGTTTTTATTGAGTATTTATACATGAAATGATGCAACCTGGCTAACAAGGTCTCTTCAGATCTGCTTACTTTGTAAGTTCTCTCGATCGATTCGACTCTTTTTATTGCACCAAACTTTTTGCACAATGCAGGAGCTCGTGCGTGCCTTTCTGCACCCCTCATTGTCTACAAACTCAGTGAAGCACTGCACTCTTCCTTGCTTTTGCGGATTATTCTTATCCTACTTGCTGTTAGCTAGCTAGAGCTAGTTAGGAGCTAACATTCTACCAGCGTAACGTGCCATCTATTTCTGCTGAGCGCAGACACCACCAGACTATGCATAGTCCAATCTGCGACAACGGCTAGCTGGCTACTCAGAAACTGCATGATCTGTGCAAAAAGCCGTATGATCTGCACAGATCATGCAGTATACCGGTAAGCAGTACGGTACCTGTGGCTGCGCCATTCACCAGGTCTTTCAAAGACATGAGCATCAGACTTTGGTTTCACCTGGTTAGCACGGCTAGTGATGTGATAGATCCGGGCAACAGTGCAAGGCTGATTGCCCACCCGTTTTCGTGCAAGTGGTTCCATCAAATGTCGCCAATGCCACCCCAATGCTAAGACCTCATCGACCTACAAAAGGAGGGTCTCATCAAAGTCGAACAATCCGTGAGGATCGAGATCCCGCGGACAAACCTCTTCTTCCTTTGCCGGCTGAGGAGGATCAGGTTCGTCCGACGTAGGTTCTTCGTCCAACACTGGCTGCTGAGCTACCGGCTCGGCGGGTGCAGGTTTTGCCGTCTCTTTCTTGTCTGTCAGAAGAAAGACTTCTTCCAGCAGTTCGCGATTCTTGGTCTTGTCAGATGTGAGCCCATCTTTCCATTTCACAGACTTGCCATTGCGCTTTCGTTTCTTTCGCTCGCGAGTCTCATTGCGGGCGGCGGCACTGATTGAGTTTCCATGAATGCGCTTACTTATTTGGCTCTTCAAACGCGCCAAGTGAGCCTTTCGTTCCGCTTGAGCTGCTTTCAGCTTGTCCTTCAACGCCGCTCGTTCTGCTTCTCTTTCTTTCAGTGCCAGGTGCTCAGTGCTACCCCCTTCAGATTCCTCGGCTTTGACAGCCTTCGCGGTCTCAACAACAAGATATCGAGGTCGTTTTCTTTCTCGCTCTTCGTCCAGTTCTTCAATTTTCTTCAGCCATCCCAGCTCTGCACCTTTCTCTGAGGATTTGTGTCTGTCCAATTCTTTGAGTCTTTCTCGTAGTTTGCCTTTCATAGTTTCAAAGGGGTCTTTAATCACGGAAGGGTCCCCACCTGGCTGGTCGGCGGGGGTTTTCGTAGCTTCTTCTTCCCATGTTTTCTTTAACTTATTCAAGATTTCTTGAACTTGAACAACAACGCAACCTCCCACTCCCCCTTCAGGGTCAACAAAGGTATCCAGCCCAGGTGTTGGGACGCCACCTTCTTTGGTTTTGTTGCTAAAACTTTTCTTGAACTCTTTGATGAGTCCATCCACTTGCTTGCTAAGCCGACGTATCTGTTTGTTGATTTTAGACTCCATGACCAACTCTTTGTTGAACGGAATCTTGCTTAACAAGTTCAGCAAAGGGATCAGCATGGGCCCATACTCGGAAGGCTTGTGTTTTGGCACTTTTGCGGCCGATCGTAGTTCCTTCGTCGCCGCTGACTTGGTTGCAACGACAACAAGTTTTGTCATGGCCTCCATCAGCCAATTTTTAAGAATCTTCAAGCCCCCCGCCGAGAAGAACACTAGCATGCGGTCGGGTTCTGCTGGTTGTCCATCCTCGTCGTTTTCATCTTCGTTCGTTGTATCAGACTCCGTTTTTATGGAAGATGCAGCTTGTTGCTTTCCTCGTTCTCCCGCGCGAGTTTTATTGGGGCTATTTTTGGGCGGCCTTCCAACCCTTCTCCGTGTTTGCAGGCGTCTGCTGCGCCTTGAACTTGTTCGCCGAGACGCCTTTGGATCCCAGTCGTCGTCAGCATAATCGTCGTCGTCGCTATCGTCACTTGATTCGACGGACTGATCGTCCTCTTCCCCGTCTCCCGTTTCGCCGTCTTGGTCACTCGAGGACTTTTTATCGTCGGATTCCTCGTCTTCGGCGTTTTCATTCTCTTCTTCTTCTCGGGCTTCTCTCTGGTCTTGCTCAAGAGAGCGCTCCAATATAGCAAGTGCCAGTAGACGCGACTTTATGTCATGGCAGTGTTCAGCCACGAGACCCGCGAATCTGATTTCAAGACCTCGAGCGAGCGATCCTCCTGTCACTTCGGATGCCGCACCCATTTGGTGTTTCGGTAAGGGAGGTAGTTCGCAACTTTCGATAAGAGCTCGCTCGACAGACGATGCTCCAGACCATAACGTGATGTCTGTGCAATACCGTATCGGAGACGAAGCTTCGGTATCCACACCTTTGTCACTCGTTGATCCGTGTGGATTGTAAGCTCTGAATCGCCGTGACAGATAATCTCGTCGAAGCTTTGGATCCGTAAGTAGCATCGAATCAGCTCCCTTGAATGCCGAAGCAGGAGGTTGTTCCGACGGAGGAAGCATTAAGAAATGGAACGGTGCCTTCTCGTCGCGTTTTCGTTTGCCATTTTTCCTGGCCGCAGACAACCCATGCAAACTGTTCAAATCAATGGGGGTTGAAGTTTTTTCCGTTACTGACGGTGCCGCTAGAGCTTCTGCGATGAAAGTAGGTTTGGAGTGCGTGGCTTCGTCGCCCGAAGCGCCTGGGGTTTCTGCTGGTGAGTGTGCTAGAGGCGATTCTGTTCTGACTGCAGAGGTGCACTCGCTAGAGTCTTTAGACCCACTGACAGCAAAGGTGAGTCGATCCACTGACATTGTTGATTGGCATTGTTTGGTGCTGTCTACGGTTTCATCAGTGGAAGATGTAGCTTCTCCAGACTCCGTTGTGGCTTTAGTTTCTGCTTTCGATGCCATCTGAGAATCTTTGGGGTCCACGTCAACAGTAGTAGTGCTTGACGCAGACTCCTTGTTCGAGTGTACTTCTTGTGGAGGATATAATTGGCCACCCGCAGACTGCGAAGGGACGGAAGGAAATTCTGCTGCAACCTCCGCTTCCAGTTCGTTATCAATCGTTTTGCAATCTCTGGAACCACTAACCGCATTTACCTGCGGGTTTGCTGAACAAGTTTCTGATGGCGACGCCAACGGGTTGGCCACTAGTTTGTCACTTTTTGCAGCTTCATGAGCTGGGGTTGGGTTGCCTGACGCAGCTCCCGTTTCGACAGAAGGGCAATCTTTGGCAGCCAACTCGTTCAAAGTTTGGGATTCCACCTTTGTGGCTGCTTCTGTTTCCAATCTTTCTGTGGTAGGTACAGCATCGACAACCACATTTTGGACTTCCGAAGCTGGACCAGCGTTTTCCACTCTGGTAGCCTCATTAGCTGACGAATGAAAGTTCGCAACGCCAACTATTGCAGGTGTGTCCTCTGCTTTCTGCTGGACAGCACTAGGAGAGTATACTGGCTCTGTCTGGGTGGTTGTCGATGGTGGCATAGGACATGTCTGTTGTGCAGGCATAACTACTTTGCCCACCTGTTTGGAGCCTTCAGACGGTACAATCATACCCTCAGAACGCATCTCCTCGCTTGCAGATTGCAGAGCCCATTCTACACCAGTATTGTCTCTAGCTATTGTTTTGGTGTCCCCACCCTCAGTCGGAACAAGTGGTGATGTCTCTAACACAGTCGCTGTCTCACTGGCCATTGGCTTTTCAGTTTCAGCAGGCTCATCCACTGAGGGGGATACCTCTACGCAAGTAGATTGGGTCTCTCTCGCAACACTTAATGGCTGAGGAGATATTTTCATGTCCTCCTCCGAGGAGACACAAGAGCAGGTCCCCAGTAGAGACATTTGTGATTCCTTGGGAAAGGCTTCAGATCCTGCTACCTCCGTCACCTCGGTTTGTGCTTTGCTAACCATTTTGGAGCCATTAGCTTCGTTTGCTGTGTCATTAGAAGGAGATACATTAACAGAAGCAGCCACCATTGCTGGTTCAACAGTGTCTGTCTCGACGGAGGTGTTGGGATTCTCAATTCCAGGAAGATCAGTGGGGATTCCTGTCTCTGGTTCCGCCGATGATGACACACCTGTGACATTGACAGTGCACTGATTGGGACCAATAGAACCCTCAGCAGCAGCAGAAGCAACACCATTGTTGGTGATGGCCATGGTGTCAGGTGGCATCACGTGTGTCAGTAGTACACCGGTAGCTCGCAGTTGTGTTGTTCTCAGTGCTGATTGTCGGGTATACCCTCTGATTCCCCTTGCTTGTGCTTGAGCGTTTCAGGCTTTCCTGTTATCCTAACCTCGAATTCATTGGTGTATTCTAATAGCTAGCTAAGGGATAAGGAGGACAGAGTATAAAGAGAAGGCATAGAAGGTCAATGAGAAAGCTGATGTGGAGCACCGATATTAGGTTTCGCACCATTGTGAACAAGTTGGGGCTGGTGGTGTCGAGCCACCCCGGTCCTGGCGGCGGGAAGCGACGGCAAGGGTGCGTCTTCAAAATCAAATTGTTGTTTAGGGTTAGAGCTTTCCTTGGGAAAAGTCAGTCGTTGCCAACATATATTTTGTCATTTATTTTTTCTCAAAAACAACGCCTTCACATCTTTCGCTCCCTTGTTCAAGATGAGCTACCGAAATACGTCTGCTTCAGAGGAGGAGGCGATTGACCATATGGTCGAGTTGCTCGATCGTTTGCCAGAAGACCCAACCGAGGAAGGCTACGACGTAGACGAATTCCCTCTAGTAGCTCGAGAACTGTTCCGTGTCTTCCGTGTCTTCGAGCACCTTTCGATACATCCGACGCTGTTACCATTCCATCGTCTTTTGTCTGCAGGCCTAGAGTTGCCCGTGATCAGCGAATTCTGCGATTTGTGTCCAGACCTTCGGAGCGCCTTGGGAATGCGAAACAACTGCCAATGCACCGCTCTGCACGATGCGTGTCTGTATAGTCCTGATGATGTTGTCGTTTTCCTGGCCGTCAAGAGAGCCGATCTCTTGGCCAGGAAGAGCGATCACGGTTTTCTTCCTGTTCAACTGGCCATGTTGAACCCACAGATCTCCGAGACGACGCTCTTGACGTTAGTCGAGCTCTTTCCCGGTACCATGAACAGTCCGGCAACTTGGCAATTCGCTCTTTTGGAGCCAAAGAGCGACTTTGAAATCTATTACCGAATCCCTCCTCAATTCTTTGCATCAATGTTCCTTGCTTCAGGACTGGATCGCCTGAAAATCGACACTGCCAGTCGCGAGGTGGTGCACTTGCGAGAACCTTTGTTAGGCGTACCAGGCAGCTTGGTGCTGTGCACACTGCTCTCGACTTCGCGAGTCACCTATCTGAAACTGAAAATTTGGGGCTGGAAAAGTAAGGAGGCATTCCTTTGCCTCCTGACAGAGTTAAAGACAAATCAGTCTGTTCGCAACATTGACGGATTGACGATCTCTTCGCTGGCCGACGCTCAGTCAAGAGAGGAAGTGTTTGACGCGTTTCAAGCTTTTTTGCAGACCAATACGTCTGTTCAGAAAATGACGCTTGATTTTACTGATGTTCGCAGTGACAGCGATGTCGAGGCGTGGTTCAAGGTTGTATGTAACGGACTCGAGAACAATCGGTCGCTTCAGAAGTTCGATGTAACTCAGTCAACTCCCGGAGTCTCGCCCAGAGCCTGCCTTCGTTTGCACAGGGTATGGAGGAAAACAGCGACACTAGCCTGGGTTCAAATGCTCCAGAATCACAATGAAACACTCTCGTCTCTACCTCCTTGGATGAACAAAGCGACGCAAGTTGCCTTCTACACTGAGTTAAACAGGCATGGCTGCCGTCGCATTGCCAGAAGTGCGAATCTCTCCGACATGACTGAGTTGCTGCTACGACTGGAACGCGCTAGTACCGGTACCAGTAAACGGCTTAAGAGGTTGGCCAGGAGCTGCGGACTTAGCAACAGTGCCTTTTCACTAAGCATTCACTTTGGGATACTGCGAGAGTGGCCTGAAAATTGGTGCAATGTTCAGAATGCCAACCAAATCGGTGCGATCAAGCGTCGGAAGCGCAAGGCTCCGTCTTCGTAGAGATCGTGGCAGGGCACCTTTCAACAAAGAGCTCAGCGGCTTTTGATTCGTGGAATCGAATCTACAAATGGTATTCGATGCCTTTATGCTTCGTCGGAAGAATGATTGGATCTGCGTTTGGCTGGAGCGTGGCTTTCATGCTTGGGACAGTGAACAAAAAGATGAAAGCTGAGAGAGAGAGAGAGAAGAAGAAGAATTCAACTTGTGCGCAATTGCCCACGAAGGATTGGGTTTACCGCATACCGGTATGTACAGCAAGACACAAGAAGATATTACATGTATTGAAGTACTATACAACGTTAATAGTTCAGCCTTGCATTCAATGCATTTGCAACCAAACCAAACGCTCTTTGTCGTCTGACAAGTGTGATTGAATTCGTCGATGGTCCTTTCTAACTGCTTGCTTGCGTCCACACATCGTACGGTAGCTAGAAATCACCATAGTCTCCTCCATAATCAGCACCTGCACCATAGTCATAGGCTCCAGCATCATATGCGCCAGTGTCATATCCATCGGCGCCGTAATCTTGATACGCAGCAGCATTGTGGTAATGATCGTACATGGCCACTCCAGCAGCACCTGCCAAGGCAGCAGCACCTACATATGGAAGCATCATGTTCCCGGGACCTTGCATGTTACCCTGACTTTGCATGTTCCCGGGTCTTTGAGGGATGTCGTAGCCTTGTTGCGTGACATTACCGTTGCGAGGCATGTAGGCAACTTGGAATTCACTGACACCGCGGGGTACCTGTGCTGCAAGAATGCGTCCTGGTTCATCAGGAACTTCAACATGCAATGTTGTGCCAGGTGCTGTCCCTGGTGGCACTCGCACCAGAATCAGCTTTTGTCCATTATTGTTGGTAGGTATTGGATTAGCGGTGGAGTTTCCAATACGGTTATTGCTATTAGGGTGGATTGTTGGAGCAGGCGGTGCTGATGCTCTAGGTTGGTAGGCAACATGGAATTGAGCGACTCCTGGAGGGACCTTGGCTGCCAATGTTCGGTTCTCTCCAGGTACTTGCACGTACAGCGTGGACCCTGCTTGGGCCCCTGGAGGGACATTGACTAGCAAGAGATGTTGTTGATTGGCGGTGCTGTTGCTATTTAGGTGCTGATGAGGTGGGGCCATTGGTTGTTGTTGCTGTATCGGGCGTGGCGCGTTTACTGCAGTCGGTCTATCCAATGCTTGTGAGAATGGAGTTCCTGATTGGTCAGGTTTCGTATTCAAAGGCGATGCAACAGGCGGCAGTACAGGTGCTGCTGCCATAGGCGCTGCGGCTGGAGCTGCGGATGTTGCATTGTTGACATTTCCACTTCCATTGCTACCACTCCCGTTGCTTTGATTGTCAGCCGTAGATCCAGCGACAGCATTTGGAAATGTGACAAAGAAGCTTTGACCAGCTTCCATTCCTTGGGGTATCGTCGCACTCACAGTTCGACTGCCATCGGGAGCTGCAACTTGTAGAGTTTGACCTGCCTGCATGCCAGGAGGAATGACAACTGTAACAAGATGCATACACAGAAGAAGAAGAAGAAGAAGTCAGTCGTCAAGTCGAGCGATCCAGGGGATGGGTATGATCAGACATGGATATTTGCATCCAAATATATATAGCACGTACCATTCACCATCAGGGGAGATGGTGGCATTACTAGATTTCCATTTCCAGCAGACTGCACAAGAGGTCGTCTTTGTCCAGGAAAGGGGCTTACGCCTGCGTCGTTCGTTTGAGCATTGTAGGCCGAGGCAGGATCCTGCCAGAGACTAGTACAGCACAGCATCGTGAACAGTCAATCCGATGATTTGATGTTTGTCTGTTGCTGCGATTTCACTTGTCTTTCCTTGACTAAATACCAGACTGGTACCTTCCTGTTTCAAGCAGCCACTCTTCTCTCTACTGGCACCAACGATTGATCTTCTCCGTGCAACGATTGTTCCCAGCCAAAGACAGTTGATCTTCATTCGACGCGACAACAACAGCAGCTAGGATCGAACGATCATTGCTTCATTTTGTTCTGGAAAAGCCAAATTTTCGGCGAGGACAACGCACGGAGGGAGGACGGCTCGCGCTCACATTTTAGAGTCACGAACGTAGCGTGACTTGTCTGAATGACGTCCTCGGTGTCACCGCAAGAACGCTTTCACTTTGAGTTGGTGTTGTGGTAGATCAAAGAAGACACAGCTGTACTTGTTTGAGTTTGACTATCCCTATAGCTAGCTAGATCCCATCAAGTCAAAGCCAGTCTCTCTCGCTGCTGATATTGATAGGATCGCATCGCACCAAGAACAATGCAGAGGGCGTCTCTTCGATCCTTGGCACATCGATCCAAGAGTTGGGACGCCAAGAGGATATACTGTACCACCAAGCTCACAAGGAACGGTTATTCCTCATCAGCGTCAGTGTTGCAGCGACGAAATCCTGGAGACCCTCCAAGAGAATCCATTGGACCGATCTACCCCTACAGCGGCACTCTACCATCACCGGGTTTCGAATGGTGCAAGCGCTGTCATATACCCTCGAGAAAGCTCCAGAAGGAAATCGGGCAACCTAACCCTTGCACCAACCTGCCAACTATGCCGATCTTGGGGGACTTTTACTGGAGTTACTGTCGTCCAGCAAGGCAATATTATCGACAACAACTCGCTACAATGCTGGTTATAGCCGCGGCATGCTTTGCAACGATTCCATCTTCCACGCAGAAGAATCTCCACGAAAACACTTCCGCGGATTCGGAGGGACTGAAAACGAATCAGGACAAAGAAACCGCTGGTAGAACACAATCCATTGCCTAGCTATAGCTACGTTTAGATAGGAAAGGATCAGAGTCGAGTCCACTAATGGGAATCTCCTCTTCAAAAGTAGTCCCCGATGGCCTACATAGTTATCGACTTTCTTTGGACATGCAATCAAATGAATGGCAGTCTTAAAAGAGGACGACACTGTCAATTTATCATGCAGTCGACTAATATGCAAACGACGCGCAATCATCACATGCCCTCTCGACCTTCCTTGGGGGTGTATGGGTATTCAACACTTCCTGTGTTTTCTGCTAACTCGACAGAGGGCCCGGCAATCACATCATCAATGTCATCGAGCATTTTTTTGACACTGTCAACATCGGCTTCATCGTTTTCAGCCTCTTTCCGAGATTCTTCTGGGATATTGGGCATGTCATTACTACCATCACAATTGGCGTCAACAAGCTCAATCTGGATTTCACCGGGATGATCATCGACTGAGCAGGCCAGTACATGCTCCAGCTCATGTTCGATATTCTCGACCCAATGTTCGGCTTCATCATCCTTCAAAAGTCCGTGTTGGACCAGTTTTGTAACGTAGTGCTGTCCAGAGTTCAACAGAATCGTACAAAACTTGTGAGATGTCACACTCATCACATCTTGCATCTTGTACTGATGCAACACCGCCTCAGCAAGCTTCCACTGATCTTCGCTTTCTTCAATAACTACCCTCGCAGCTTCAGACAGTTCGCTATCGGCGTTCTCGAATTCGCGCCGAACAAATCTCTGGGCTGCTTTGTGCGCATGCATGAAGCACATCGATCGCTCAATTTTCAACCTCTTGATGGTGTACTTCACGTCTTTTCTCGCGCCCTTACCCACGAACGTCTGAAGGGCCCAAATCACGAAAGGGTGGCGCTTCATGCGGTTGATAATTCCTGATGCTGGGCCATCCACGACATGCACAAACTCCCAGTCTAGAAGTGCAATGAAAGCAAAGGTGAGCAGTCTGGAGGCGACATAAGAGCATCAATAGTGGAAGAAGTTACCTTGCAAAATACCGCCGTTTGACACATGATCAAGAGCAAACTCGAGACTTTGTTCGAGTGCAATGGCCAGGAATTCCCTGTCTGCGAGTTCTCCGTGATCAATCTGCTTCTCGTAATTGGCCTTCAGGATGGATATAAACAGGACCCTCATTTCCTGAGCCGAAAGAGGTTCTCCTGACATCAAGTGGTGAATATTCGATTTCCGTCGTCTCCTCTGAAGTCTGTTTTGAGCTCGCTTCACGCGTGTTGCCTTTCGAGCATCAGCTTCGAATTCTTTGAGAAGCTCCTCGGTGCTCTTCGTTACAGGCGTGCCCGGGCTCACACGCAAACTCTCTTCCGGCTCATCGGGAAGGTATGGCAAAACACCTTGGAGGTATGGTGGCATGTACTCATCCGAAGCAGTGGTATCCTTGTGTCGCTCCACCGACTCCAAAAGTTGGCTCTTGGTTATGCCGTCCAAATAGGGAACATGCGACTTCACCAAACCAAAGTTCACGTTCCGGAAGCGCTGCTCAGACAAAAGCTGCACGAATCGAAGCAGCAAGTGCTGTTGGAAACCAGCCTCAAATGCATGAACAATCTTTTTCCTTGTTTCTGTCGAATCAGCCAAGCCCATCCACACGAGGAAAGGTCCAGCGGTAGTTCCGTTGATCATGAGAGTGCAAAAAGCAACACCGCCAATCAGCCCAAAAGCTTTGTTGGTTTGTTCCACAAAAACTAAATCTTCCGGGGAAGTCTCGGGGGTTGCCTCTCTCCTCACAGAAGAATCAAGTGCGATAGCCAAAGCAATACCAACAGCTCCACGGAGGCCACCATATACCTGGAAGATTGTTTCTTTGACGTTCGTCTTGAGCCCAATTCGACTAGTAAGAGGGTATGCCAGGAAGAACGACACAAACCTAATCACCGAAAGCAGCAAATAGAGGACAATAAGATAGCCCCAATCCTCTGCCTTAAAAGTGCCCGTCTTCTCTCCATTCGCGATCACAGAACCCCAAACGACTCCACCGAGAGTGAACAGAACTGTGTTCAAAATGTGTTCAAGAAGAACCCAAAAGTCATCAAGCAACTTCGCGTCATTGATACTCGACCTTCCGAAGGATTTCACAGTGACTCCCATTGCAACCGTTGCGATAACACCGGCTAAAGCGTGGATTGTTGTTACAATGGCTGTGAGACGAGGGGCTACTGTGTTGCACTTTCGAGGGTGACCGCAGGCTGACTTACATGTGTGACAAACAATCTAGAAACACATAACGACGCGGTGAGCTCTTGAACAGATCGAAGGCAAAAGGCATTAGCGATATTTCGTATTCGTACCTCAGCTGCAGAAAAGAAAACACAACAACAACGAAGCAGTGAGCTCTTGAGCAGAAACGAAGGCAAAGACGCCCGCACGATCCTACACCGACCCACCAACGTAGTACCCCATGTAGGCAATTGCCGCCGTTGCCGTAACCTCCACAATGTTTTCTTCTTGACTGAATCTTCTGTTCAATCCATAAAGCATGAAAAGCATTGCCCAGCCAAAGCCAATTCCAATTGCCATTCCTCCAAGACTCATACGAAAGAACAAAGCGAACCCACGCGCCCAGCCAACATCCTCTCTGGGAGATGCAGGCAAAGACGATGTGTAAGCGGCATGAAGCCATCATGATGGGCATGACACATACATAATTTCCTACCCAAAGCCCTCATTCTGCATTTCATAAAAATAGCGCTCCGCAAAAATCGTAAAGAAGACAATCGCCGCACCATCGTTCAGCAGCGCTGCGCAATGGACTCGTTAGCTGCGTTTTCAATATTGCCATACAAATTCTGAAAAGTCCGCTTTTGAATCCTCACCTTCGCCTCCAATATGAACCTTGAGACGTGGTGGAGCTCCCACCTCTTCCAATAGTGCCGCCACGGCCACAGGATCGGTGGCGGCCAAGATGCTACCAACGGTCAGAGCCAAATTCCAAGACCTGGGAATGTTCGAAAACGAGACCAAAAGAGGTTTTGTGAGAACAAACCTCCTTCCCGTGACAGTAGCAAACCGGTGACCTTACCAGCCATACGGGAAGATGTATCGGCCCACACACTGTAAAACAAAGCGAGATCGGAGCAGTGAGACGAGCCAACACGTATGGAGGCATCCATTTCTGCATGGCTGTGACGCGTTCTTCTTACAGCTGTCAGGAATGTGCCCAACAAAACCATCTGTTTGATAACGCGAACATTAGGAATAATCGAGGTGGTGAGCCCATCCAAATACCCCAGAAAGCGCGTTGTTGCGATTTTTAAAAAAATGAATGCTTCTTACGGGAAACGCGAAGACGAGACATTGGGAGACTCCCACACGGAAAAGATGAACATTCAAGCCATAGGCGTCCTTTGGGAGAAAACCAGCGAAGGGAGAAGAGAGGGCGAGTTCGTTTAGCACTCCACGTAGCAAGAATTGCCGTTTCCTTTTGTCGTCTCACCTTGAAGATCAGACCCGGTAGAAATACCAGCAGGAGAACTTCACTATCAATATCGGCCCACATTCTTGTAGTGATCGAGACATGATCGTCGTTGTTCGGCATAAGCTCCACACCAATGCCCTGGATTCATAAAAGGACAAACAAAATGAGGAACATTTGAAAAAGGAAGGGATATTATTGTTCATTTTGATGCGTGCGTACCATACAGGTCCCAATCAAGAACATGAGAGCTGTGTAAGGCAATGCAGCGTAGCTGAATTGATTGGAATGAATAGTTTGGGAAAAGACAAGGAAAAAGCAAAACAGGGAGAGTGTAAGCCAGAAGGAAGGGTATGTGAAAGTGCCGGGAAAACCTTGCATTTCCCTTACTATCTTGTGAGCATATAAAAGACGACCAATCCCAACGTCAATGCAAAGGATGGAAACAGGACAGCATGGCCTGGCTCCGATTCATGTTCTGAATGGGATTCACCCTCGTGGCCAATTTCATCAAAAGCCAGCTCACTATCAGAGTGGCCTTCCTCAGAGGTTGAAGAATGGGTATCAGTGGTAGAATTAGTATCAGTGGTAGAATGGGTATCAGTGGTAGAGTGAGTATCAGTGTCAGTGAGAGTGATGTCTTGTTCCGAAGCATGAGTGTCCGTGTTGTTCTCTTCGTGGTCGTCAGTGTTGTTTAGAACGGTTGGGGTAATCACAAAGTGCAAAACATCCTCTTCAGTAGAGTTTGCATTGGATATGGCAGTTCCATTGTCGCCCTGACATGCCACCGACACCACCAAGAGCAGCAAGCAAGTGCAAATGAACTTCCACTGTTGTTTCACACGGGTGCACCAGATCCTTGGGGAGCCTTTCCCTGTTGCTGCCGCCATCATTGACACCGCAACCAACTCTTAAAATTTGGCCAGTCTCTTGGAAGATGATATTGATAGTTTTGAAGCTCTCTTCAAACTTGTTTTGTGAGGGTATCTTATCAGCTATTTTGCTATCTTATTATCTATCTCAAAAAGAAGCGTCGTTGCATCTGACTCTGGCTCAAGCAATGAATGAGAAAAGCGAAGCAGCCCAAGCAAGCTCCAACCTCCAACAGTTGCTCCAACCAAACCCAAGCAAGATTTCCGAAAAGATCTGATGAGAAGCGGACGAGAACCGAGAACCGAGCAGAACACTGGTACCGGACATCATGGGAGTTCTTGCACGCCAGTCATCATCGCGCCATTTTCCTGCACGAAAAGATAAGGCTGTAGCCCCGATTACAAGACTGTACTACATACATGTACCAGTACTCGTATCTTCTACTAGTCCAGGATTAGGACGCTGACCGAGAGCTTCTCACTTACTTACCGGTAGGCATACGATCCCTACCGGTACTAGCTAGCATACCAGTATCGGCATTTGGCCAGCCAAGGAAAGACACTGCAAGTACTGGTCAACATTCTTTTTAACTGCTTGGAAAGCGCTTGGTCCTTCGCGTTCCCAATTTGAACAATGTCAAGGAGAGCTCAACCCAATGGGCCAGCCATATGTCTACTCTGAGTAGAGGAAGACGTCCTTCTTGAGATAATGTAGAGTAAGAAAACGTTCAGCCTGGGTTAGGAAGAAAGAAACTGTACCAAACCAGCTACCGGTACCGGTATGATAGCTCGTAGCGGTTCGCGGAGCACAAAATGAGAACAATCTTACTGTACAATCTTATGAAAAAGGTTGGAGATACTACAGTACTAGAGTAACTGTGCTACGTACCTTGTGGAGTCGCAGAGTGACAGTCGTTCAAAAGAGTATTGTTGTGTAAACCTTCTACTCCCGTACCGGTATGTATGTATGTATTTTAAAAAAATACCAGATTTACATACTGGCGCTTACCGAAACAACCATTTCTTTGTTTAACACCTCTCAAATTGAATTTAAATAGTGTCTTTGGCTTAAATCTCACTCTCAAGCTGAAATGTCACTTAGAGAGTGCAATTTCAGTGCCTTAGTGAAATTTCAGCCGGTATCGCGCTTATTAACACGAGGACATATGCAATTTCAGCGTCACTATGTAGTTTCAGCACAACTGCTGAAATTGCACTCACTCGCTTAATTGCACCGTTTCAAAAGATATGCCTAGGATTTAATTAGTGAATCCCAGCAATTTGTTGTTTCGGTGAGCGCCACAGCGCCACTACTGTATTATTAATAATACCGTGCAGTGTACAGTACTATGACATACTTATGCACCGTGTAAAAGGTTGATTTTATGATCATACGATTTTAGCAAAAAGTGACTGAACTAAGTAAGTTTACTCACAAACTGCCCAATCGCTAAAACACGAGCTTTCACTCTGTGGTAACTTTTCCGTTGTTTGACTTTTTCATCCCTCTTGGGAATCATCAGTGCTTGGGCTATTGTGGTACTTAGGTCCTGTCCCAACAGCCCTCCACCCTATCCCCAATTCGTTCTTTTGAAGGCCATAACCATGAGGCCCTAATTTGGGAATCCGATTTCCATAACCAACAGGTCAGTGCAGAACACCGAATTCGACTCCCACCAGGTTGCCAAATGCCAATGGAGCTCCAATGAGAAAGCCAATAGAGAACCAACACCGCTCGCTTTGGTTGATTGTCGTCATGGTGTCATTGAAGATCCTATGAACTTGAAAGACAAAAGAAAACCCATTATTAAAAGATCATGTTTCTGTTGAGCTTTCTTCTCATCTTTGTTCTCTTCTTCTTACCTTTGGTCTCAGCCGCCAGGACACACCATCTCGAAGATTTTCGCAACTTCGCACAAGCAACAGTTGCCCTGTTGACAGCTGCGGACGAAGAACTCTTTGGTGACAGGAGTGACAACCGTGGTGGTGGCAAACCACACCGTTACAGGAAGAGGAAATTTGTTAATGACATCTTCAACGAGCTGGGGCCCCATTATGTCAGGAGAGCTTACCGAATGGAACCTGCTTCATTCTGGCGACTTGTCAGGCTTCTGAAACCGTACCTGAAAGCTGGTAAGGCCAGAAGGAAGACAAAACAAAAGAAGGGTGCCAAGAATGGCTTGATTCCACTCCCCAGCAGAGTAAGTGCGGCAATCAGGTACTTTGCAGGAGGAGCTGCGTATGACATCTCTGTTGTCCACGGCATGGGTCACACCGATGTCTACAGATCTGTCTGGAAAGTTGTCGACGCAGTGAATAAGTGTCCGAAGCATGATTTTGCTTATCCTTCCGATCATGAAGAACAGCAGCAAATCGCTGATGACTTTTCATCCCTCAGCCGTGGAGTATTCGACTGCTGTGGTGGAACCGTAGATGGAATCTTGATCTGGACAGAAAGGCCAAGCGAAGAAAGCTGTCAGGATGCAGAGTGTGGACCGAAGAAGTTCTTTTGTGGTCGGAAGAAGAAGTTTGGCTTGAACATGCAGGCCACTTGTGATGCTTACCGGAGGTTCCTTGACATCTATGTGCAGCACCCAGGGTCAACGTCTGACTATCTTGCGTGGACGTCATCTCCACTCTACCACAAGATGGAACGACATGGTTTCATGAAGCGAGGAATCTGTTTGTTTGGAGACAATGCGTATGTCAACACACCCACCATGGCCACTCCCTACAAGGCTGTTGGTGCTGGCAGCAAGGATGCATACAACTACTTCCACTCCAATGTGCGCATCACCATCGAATGTGCTTTTGGAATGCTGACTCGTCGCTGGGGTATCCTGCTGCGCCCGTTTCTGTTGGCCGGTCTAGATATTTAGCGGACCCGGATAAGAAAAAGACCGCACCACCGTAGGAATTTAAGGAAACTGGCATTCTCAGATCCAGACTTCAAAGCGACCAGCCAGAAAGATCACTTTTTCTTCACAACTCGCCCAAATCAACAAATTAACCTTGATATTACTAGTAGCTGCAGTGTTATTAGACCCAACACTGTGAAGAAAAAGCTTTTTGGATTGTTTGTATTGAGTTTGCCCATGGTAAAGACCAAAAAGATAGAGTAACCAGGAATTGAACTAGAAGGTGCTGAATTACAGTGGCTAGCCTCACTATCAGAGGTGCCTGTGGGCTCCAACAGGAAAATTTCGCGCTCACATTTTCCTCATTCCAAGCTCTCGGAGCATCGGCCGATCGACTTGTCGACCGATTCAGAGCAAACCAAGCACATCAGCGTCGAGAGCACAGCTAGCCGG